TCCTGTACCTGTCACTAAATCCACTGTATAATTAAAAATAAAAGTTTGTGTGTGTGTGTGTGTGTGTGTGTATCAGGGGACTCTCCCATGGAAATGAACAAGTATTGAAGAAATTAAAAACTACATGTTCTTTTTCGCTGTTAAAACCAATTGTTCAAATGTAACGTTAGATGTGGTTTATTTTAAATGTAATTTAAGTGCTGGATAGACCATAACAGCCATACCTAGCATGGAACTCTGGAATCTGGCACTTCATAAATTTTAGATTTTTGGATCTATCTGAGCTGACAGAGCCCTTGCGTATGTACTTATTGTGGCACAAGTACAGCATGTATGTGCAGTCAGTATTTGTGGGGAAAATCCATGTGACATTTCTTTACCGAGCAGTGACTGCACGTGGGCTGTCAGTGCTTTGCAACATTAAATATCGTATCCAGTTTAAATGTTTTAGATTTTAGCTGAGCCACATTGCTCGCTGACCACTGAGCAAATGCCCAGTCTGGATTGGGCAAATCAAAGGCCAAATCCCACTTGCCTTATTCATGTATGCCCTCCTGTGGCCCCATCTTTCTCCTAAAGACCTGTAGATAGATTTACTGCCAGGCTCAAACTCTGTGGGCTCCCCACACCATGTATGTGAGAGGGATGCATGTGTTCACTCAGAGAGGAATGTGCCACTAGCTGAGCAAATGGATGACCAGATTGTCCCCTTCCATAAAGACATCTGTGGAAAGGAACCTGGACTTTGTTCCAAACTGTCTCATAGACTCATAGACTTTAAGGTCGGAAAGGACTATTATGATCATCTAGTCTGACCTCCTGCACAATGCAGGCCACAGAATCTCACCCACCCACTCCTGTAACAAACCCCTAACCTATGTCTGAGTTATTGAAGTCCTCAAATCGTGGTTTAAGGTGCAGCGAATCCTCCAGCAAGTGACCCAGGCCCCACACTGCAGAGGAAGGCAAAAAATCTCCAGGGCCTCTGCCAATCTGCCCTGGAGGAAAATTCCTTCCCGACCCCAAATATGGCGATCACTTAAACCCTGAGCATGTGGGCAAGACTCACCAGCCAGCACCCAGGAAAGAATTATCTGTAGTAACTCAGATCCCACCCCATCTAACATCCCATCACAGACCATTGGGCATATTTACCTGCTAATAATCAAAGATCAATTAATTGCCAAAATTAGGCTATCCCATCATACCATCCCCTCCATAAAATTATCAAGCTTAGTTTTCAAGCCAGATATGTCTTTTGCCCCCACTGCTCCCCTTGGGAGGCTGTTCCAGAACTTCACTCCTCTAATGGTTAGAAACCTTTGTCTAATTTCAAGTCTAAACTTCCTAATGTCCAGTTTATATCCATTTGTTCTTGTGTCCACATTGGTATTAAGCTTAAATAATTCCTCTCCCTCCCTGATATTTATCCCTCTGATATATTTATAAAGAGCAATCATATCTCCCCTCAGCCTTCTTTTGGTTAGGCTAAACAAGCCAAGCTCTTTGAGCGTCCTTTCATAAGGCAGGTTTTCCATTCCTCGGATCATCCTAGTAGCCCTTCTCTGTACCTGTTCCAGTTCCCTTTTCTGTCCCATCAGAGGATTGGTGCTTGGCCTTCTAAACCCTCATATATCGTGAGACCTACTGGGAAATGCCATGGGTCTTGGGCTGTCTGCACAGAGACACAGGGTCTCCACACCACGCCTCGGACCACTTAGCACAACAACTTCAGGTCTCCTGTCCCATATAGTCCCTGCTGCTGGCTACCCCCAGACCTTCTGACTATGGCTCACTGTGTGCAGAATGGATCACCATTGTGGATGGGAACCCTGTGGACTTTTGGGTGAACAATGCCCAGGAGGGACAGCAGCGTCTTCCCAGCTCATCCCCTCCCAGGAAGTCTGAACTCCCAGGTGAGAGCACACTGTGTGGGGCTGCTGCTATCTTCCTTTTGCTTCCCTCTAAAACTGTTTGAGCAGAGAAGCAGAAGCAGAAGGGACTATTTGGGCCTAGCAAATTTCTTGGCGCCAAGGTAACAGGAAGGTTATGATGGAAATGCAGTTCTGGCAGATGCTTAACTGCACCATTTTCCTGCCATCACTCTCAAAACTGTGGTAAAGGCACCCTTCTGTTTCTCCTGAAGTTTTGTGACTAGAGACAGCCTATGAAACAAGTGTTTGCTGTGCCTGTTTCCCTTCCCCAAAATAGCAGCTTCTTTTCGACCATTATCACACCACATGGTGCAGGCGGACTAAGGGTTCTGGGGAGGGCAAATGAAATGGTTCTTTGGGATACACCCCAAAGGTAATTAATTCGTTTTCCTTAACAGGCCATATCTTTAGCTAGTTGTAAATAGGCATAGCTCCATTAGCACCAGTGATCTAGCCCAAAATGTGTGTGTAGGTGGCAAGAGCAGTTTCCTACTGCAGATGCGGAGCCCAGCTGTATTTTCCGTTCAACGCTAGCTGTCGTTTTACATCTGTTTACATTTTCAAGGCCATCTCTGGAAAAGAAAAGGGATAGGCTCTTCCTTTCTAAAAACGAAGTGAAAGCTGAAATTTACATTTCTTGGCTGCCCAAATCAGGAAGGGTTCATGGGTAAGGGGGTTTGAGGGGCCTAAAGGCTGGTTCCACATATGGCTAACTCCTTTCCCCACAGCGCAGCATGCTAATGACCATCTGTATTGTTGCATTTCTGAATCGGATTTTAATTATTAATACCACATAGAAAAATTTGGGGGATCTACAGTAACTGCCCATCAGGGGACAATATTGCAAACACTCACCTCACAATGGTAATTGTAAAATAAGATGTATTTCTAGCAGACTTGCATTATTGAGCTCTTTCTAGAAATTTGATTGCATTTAATTAAAAATTATTGGTTTAAATCTATTCCATATGGTTTTTCTTTTACGTATTAAAATTAAAAAGTGAATCTTCTCATCTGTCAGTTTCAATGCCCCCCACCCAATCACAAACATTCAGAACGTGGTGGTTTCTGGATCATTATAATTCTATATCTTCTTCAAATTCTGTTAATTGAAACTTTAATGAAGATTTGCACTGGTTCATTCATCAAATACATAGCCCTTCACCAATATACCGACAGATGCCAACTACCAACACCATGTAGGTGAATATAGTGAGGACAGGAAGTGCCACATGTGTTACATATGTGCTATGTCAAAGAAGTCAGGGTCTAAGATGAGTGAAATAAGCATCATAATAAAAGTAGGCCAGGAATTTTAAATTAATAGCATCATGAGGTTTTCTGTGGCAGGGTTACTTCTCATATGATTCCATATTCTAAGATTTAGGTCCCTTGCAGTCCATTTTAAGAAGCAACATTTTAACAATAAATATACTAACTATACATATATATATATATATATATACACACACACACACACACACAATATGTATAATTACCCTGTTTTGAGATTAGACTATTCTGTTCTAATCCAGGGCATTATGTAACTGAACTATATTGTTTATCCATTTTGATAATCCATTTTGGGCATGGTCTTTTTCCATTTTGTACAGCACTGAATACATGAATGAGGCTCAATAAAAACTTGTTAGCAATATGCATATCTCTGCTTCCCAATCAGCCTTCTACTGAGAAAGGGGCTATTTAGGAATGCCCAATTTTCATTTCTCCGCTAACAGCAGAAACAGCATACACAAAAAACAACATGAAATATCATGTTCAAGCCTTGACCGTGAGACTTCCTTGAACCAGTTCTGATTGGCTTTTCCCCTGGCAACAAATATGTCTAAGTCATAGCAATTTACGTAGTTCAATATTTTTACCTTAAAGAATAACCCAAAATGGGTGGTATGTCTCTGATACAAACAAATGGCCCAGTTTCAAAGCAAATGTCAGTTTTCTCAATGGAAATGGAGCTGCTGAAAGGAAAATGACTAGCGGATCATTAGTGAGATCTGACTAACGTGAGCTTCCCCATGCAGTTAATATTTTGATTTCCTGCCCCATGCGAAATGTGTGGGAGGAGGAGATTTGAAAATACACACTTCATGAAAAAGTGAAACATGAGTGTGAAACAGCTCGGGGGGGAAAGAATAAAAGGTACATTTAAAACGCGGCTGGAAGACTTTCATTTCATTCACCCCAGATTTTTCATTCAGTTGATTTTCCTTTGTTTTCTCTGTTACCTGTTCTAACTGGAGCCAGTGGGTTAAATTCTCTTCTCCTTTACGCTAGTCTCACCCCATTGGCTTCAAGCTCTAATATGATTATAAAATGATAATAGGGAAGTTATGGTGGAATATCAAGGAGAAGACAGATGGTCCCAAATAGAGTTGCACCAGAACAAATAGTTAAAGCGAAGCTGAAAAATCACAAAATGCAACACATGCAGTTTCAGACAAACCATTTATGTAATTCATTCAGAAGTCAGAAGCTGCCAAAACTCCATGATGAAAGATTTTAAAGCAATTTAATAAATTAATAGACTGTTCAGATTAGGTCCTGGTTTGCTTGGCATTTTTTGGTCCATATTTAATTGCTGTACTTTGAAGGATAAATGAAGTACACAATGTTGCATATGGAAATTGGCAAGAATGATGAAATGAAAGCAGAGATTCCAGGACCCAGTAAGATAGTTTGTATCTGTAACAAATTCCATTCGAACAAGAACTCAGAAATATTGCTCATAAAAAAATAGATCCACCAGAGTAAAATGATTATTTTTAAATGAACTTTGTTTGACTTATGTTCTCTACCCAGATATGATCATCCAATTCCACTGGGTTTGTTAGGTATGTGTTTACAAAAAGAGTTTCAATACATCTTAATTTAGTCTCTTTTCACTGATAATGGTTTATCTTGTATTCTTCCAAACTCTTTCTTGAAAGCATTGCCTGAACAAGGAGAATAAGCCAAGCAAAATGGAGGATCTGCCTATGACACCTAACAGAGGAAGTCTTGATTGGTCAAGGCTAGCAGGTCTTACATAATAATTTACTACAGTACCTTTCTGTTTCCTGGTCTGTGGTTTGCTGCTTGTTCTCAAAGGCTGTGAAGCTGCTCATATCCACATAGCCGTCATTCTCATTAGCAGCAGATAATGCCCTACTGGGATCTTCAAAAAATTCTGTAAAAGTTCCTGCTCTGGTTGGTCTTCGAGGAGGAATTTGTATATTTTCATAATCGGAGCTCACAGCTGGAATGTTCTCATAGTCAGAAGTATCAGCATTAGGGAACGAAATAGACCTAGGTTTAGTTAAGGGGAGTGGCATGAAAGGAGGTCTGGATCGATCCTCAAAGGACTCCACTCTCGACACACTCCTGCTAAAGGTTTTGGGGATCCCCTTTCTTTTACCATCCTTGTAGAAAAGAACAGTAGAGGGAGACTCAGAAGCTCGCAGCTTCCCAGTATGGGACTTTAGCTGAGGTGAACTACTCAAGCTCCTTCTGTCCAGTTCCATAATCCTAGAAGTCCCGTGATAGCTAGACTCTGAAGAGGACCTTGAAGAGGAAACATTAACATCCACATGGACCTTATTTTCTGTCTTCTTCTTAAATTTTAGGGTGAGAAACCTCTTAAAAGATGATTTCTTTTTCTTAGTGTACTTATCAGGAGATTCGTTCTCTATTAAAAGTGAGGGGGAACTTTTAGTGATTGGCTTTTTGGTGATACAGGCTAGTTCAAAAGGAGGTGGTATGTCAACAACTGAGGATGGGGTGGACACACCACTTGATGAAAGGTGATTCCTCTGTGAAAAGCTACCTGAAGAACCAATTACACAGGGCAAAAAGAGGTTGTCTTCTGTCCTCTTTATTCTATTGTCATCCAATGTAGAGCCATCAGTTTCTCTGTAAACAGAGACTGGCATATCTCTCCCTTCTACCGAGTAAGACCGTGGGTATAAAATAAAGCGTCTTGACGTGGCTGGTAAGGCCCTATTGACTTCTATTGGTTTTCCTTCCAAGAGCGGTAAGTTATTGGTTAAATGTTCAGTCAGAGAGTCATCATTTGAGGACTGTACATCCGTTTCTGGTCCAGTTTCTTCTGGAACAGTTTCTGGCACATAGCCAGGCACTTTCCCAGAGAGTGACCTTGTTCTAGTGACCATACTTTTTCGATCAATGGATAGCAGGTTGTTTTCAGTGTCTACAATTAGTTCTTCTCTTATGCTGTAATCACATGGAATATCTTCTAATTCAGTCTGCACCACTTCTCTAACATGAGGGGTTGCATTCTCTGAGGGCATCACATAAGGATCATCTAGAGAATCACTGGTTGTTTCTCCTTCCTCAGGTACAACAACCACTTCAGGGACTGCTAAATACTCACTAGACTCATGTTCGCTATCATAGTCTGCTTTATATTTGCTTTGATCACAACTAGCTAATTCTTCCGCTGTATGGTATTTATCCTCAACTGATGCTTGTTCAGGTGGATTTGGGGAGCTTTCTTCAAAGCTACTATGACTGACCTTGGTGCCTTCAAGAACTTGCTCATCTGATTCAGATTCTTCCAAGACACATTCATTGTCACCACAATCTTCAACAAACACATTTGGTTTAGATTCCCCTTCCAGCTCTGGCTCACTAGCAGTTTGAGGACTAGAGAGCTGGCTATCATTACTCAAAAAAGTCCTTTCCAGTTGCAAATTATCATCTAAGTTTTCTTGGGGTGAGTCAATGACATCTTCATTGCATTCGCTCTCAAACGGAACAATTTGACAACTATCATCTATATTCTCTGCCTTCACCACTTCTTCCTCTTTTTCAGAGTCTTCTCTAGCCTCACATGTTGTCTTTGATGTTTCCTCCTCACTCTTCATCTCAGTGGTTTGGTACCCATCATCTATATAGTCTTCCCTTTCCACATTTGTTTCTTTGTCGCTATCTGGACTTACTTCCTCTTCTTCAGCTGCAGCTTCATTGATAGAACCTCCCAAATCCCCTTCTGCGTCAGGTTCATTTTCTTTCAGTCCTAACCCAATGTCTGTTTCTTCTTCATCAACATCATCAGGAATTATATCAGGATTTGCACAACCATAATTTACTAATTCCGTTTCTGTACTCAGTACAAACTCTGCATTATCATCCAGGTCACCATTGTTTGCTGGACTCACTTCTGTGTCATTGTTTGATAGCTCATCTTCTAAAGTTTGGGGCAGTTCATCATTCTCTTCTGGTATTGGCTCATCATCTACAGGTAAATGTGTTAGAATAATGTCTTCACAGATATTGCCCTTCAAGTCCTCATCTCCATTCAAAATCTTACAGTTTTCCAGGTTATACTCATTATTGTCCTTTACCAGATTGAGGTTATTAAATGTTTCCTCAGCCTCACCTTTGAAGTAGTTTTGGGGGTCATCTACACAGTCCACTTCTTCCTCCATATTCTTAGAAGCAACATCTTCTACTTCAAGGGCTCCTGAAGACACTTGACTAACTGCTTCAGACCTGTCACAGCCTCTCATTTCTGTTGCTCCATCTGAGTCTGGTTCCACAGCATCTGAAGAGTCATTGTCCTCGGCTTCAGTTATTTCTGGATTACAGATCTCCTCGTCATTAGCTATGCTATGATCCTCTTCCTCCCCGGATGCTTCTGGAGTTTCTAAGACCTCATTCTCTGCAGATGACTCTAAACACTCGTCATGCGCATGTTCAAAGTCATCAGTCAGCTGAGCTTCAGGAACTACGATATATTCATCACCAGCCTCAGATTCCGAGCACTCAATGTTGCATTGATTTCCTTCATACAGCTCTCCATCGGGACATATCAGTTTTCCATTTGTGAATTTATTTAAGTTATTGTTGGTATAAACACTGGACCTCCCCTCAGTGTCAGCTGAGAGTTTTGGCTTGGGAGCAATGGGTGGTTTTGGACCCCTAGACATAGAGTTTGGATTATGAAGAATATCAGGCCTTGACAATGAAGGCGGAAATTTGGAGACAGCCACGGAAGAAAGATGACTGATAATCTTTGGTTTTGGTGCTAGTGGTGGTTTTGTGAAGTCTGGAAAAGAAACAAAGAAAAGCCATATTAGCAGTTTGCCATCCTGGTTTCAACAAATATCTATTCACTGGTTTAATAGAAACATAGTGGCAGTGAAGCCACCAGAGAATCCATCCCAATTAACTTTATTTGTTTATAGTAATTTTGACTAGAATTGTAGTGCAGCTGGTCCATAGAGGAAAATGGTGGCAGGAAGCACTGAACTACAACTCCCATGAAGCACTGCGGCCACTCAGGAGGACACAGTTTAATATCAGACTGAGCCAAACAGAAACCTATCAATACAGGAATGTCAAAATTTTTTCATTTCAATCAGAAATGTAGAAACAATGTTTCAGTATTTCCAAAATGAAATGTTGGGGTTTTGACCAAATGTTTTCAGTTTTTTGATGTTCAGATTTTCAATTAAAAACAAAAGTTTCAGTGGAAAGAAGACACTTACAAATCTTTATTGGAACACCCAGTTCCATCATAAAACAGTCTTTCAACAGAAACATTTTGACCAGTTCTAGTTTTAATCCATAAAAATGCAGTGCAAGCAATTTGTAGCAATGCTTTTATCTGTATTGTAGACTGCAAAACAAATCCACACTCAGTTTGTTCTGCCAGCAATTTAAATGGTTAATTCAGACTTGTAAAACTGACATGAATGTTTACCAGCCCAAAGCACAAAATCTATTCCCCCACCTTTACTATGGTGACTGATAATGAAAAACTGAATGATATGTTACTTGCTGGTCAACTAATTTATTCACCCAGGGCGAAAGAATTTCTGAAGGGTTGGTTAAGTCTTTACATTAATTATGTAGCTGAGCTACAACACAGTGAATGAAATCCTTGTACCCTAAAATGAGGAGAGGTAATTGGTGTCAACTTAAGTTCAGTTTTCAAAATGTATAACTTCTTCAGTTGCTTCACTGTTCAGAAGACACAACAACAATGTAAA